GGGGCAGGGAGGAGAAGGCGGCGGCCAGCGCCGGCTGCTGGGAGCCAGCAGGGCCCCCGAGGGCCGCCGTCCCGTTCTTCGACATCGCGGTGGATCAGGACGACATCCTCCCGGGTGCCCTGCGCCTCATCCGGGAGCTGCGGCCGCACTGGAAGCCCGAGCAAGTTCGGACCAAGGTAGCCGAGCGGGCGCGAGGCCGGGGATGGGGCCCTGCCTGGGCTGCAAAGGGGCTGCGTGGACGCCCGTCAGTGCATCTTTCCGAGTGCGGGTCCCAGGGTTGGTTACGCGGCTGTTGCGCAGGAAAGATTTTGGACCGTGGTTTGTATATGTGTTTAGCTCTCCATCTCTTTTTGATCCCTATGCAAAGCTAGACCCACGATTCCCTGAACCCTCCCCACTCGTCTGTTCCTGAGGTTCTCAAGCATGCAGCCTGAGGTCTACCTGCCCACTGTCAGCATGCTGCGCGTACGGCCCCACCCCCTGTCGCTGAGTGCTTGTCCCCTAGTTGCCCAGAAGTGCGTACTCAGCCGCTCTGAAATCCAAGGAGGCACGAACTTTTAAGGAAACCTCCCCCTGCACCCTGTGCTGCTCCTTCACCCTAACGTGAGAGCCAAGCCCTCAGGGGTCTGAGCATTCCCGGTGGGCCCGAGGAACCAGCCCTGTGGAATTCGGAATTCCAGCAAAGCACCTTCACCGTGGCCTCAGGCTAGTTCTGAGCAACTCTCTTCCCACCTCAGGTGGATGTATCTCCCCCACACACATCTGTGGGCACTTTGGCCCCTAGCTTACTCCTCAGCTGTCCTGCATTCTCTTAAAAATAATGTTTACACCTCTCCAGGCAGCCTGTGCAGGAAGGTGCAGAGGGGTAGGGTTCCATGTCACAGACCTTCTGAGTGGGGAAGGTACGGCTCTGAGGAGAATCTGGGCTGAGTGTGGTAGCGGTTTTTCAGAAGACCCAGACCTGCGACCAAATCCAGCACCAGCATAGCAGATGCTAACCCGTGTTCTCACTAGCCCTGTTTCCTCACCCAGAATGGGTTCCGGTGGCCTCTAAAGTCCTATCCAGCTCTGTCACATGGTGCCCATAAAACTTTAGCTCATGGTTCCTTCCTCCCTACCGCCATGCCCAGAGTCACATGCCCAGAGAGTTGGTGTTCCCACTCCTGTTGTCTCCTGTTTCTTCTGGTGTGGAATTCAGAGACTCAAGGCCCTCTGGCCACCAGAGCTCTGGGATGAGTGCCAATTTCAATACCCTCCTTGTATCTCTGCCACTGGATGGAGCAAGAGATACAGCTGAGAGCCCTTGCCTGCCTTGGTGAGAGGGTGCTGGTCAGGATGTCTGTCTGGGCAATTTCCAGCCCTCCTTGGCCACATTCTCACCTGTGGTGGGTTCTTTCACGGTCAGGATGGAGAAAGGAGGGGAGAGAGAGCCTCTACCCACTGCCTTGTGTGGACATGCGGACTCTGCCAAGTCCCATGCCCTGGAGGCAGACCTAGGATGAGTGAGTGTGCCTGGGCTCAATGTGGCTGCTACCTCCTCCCCACTTGTGTTTTAATTTACTTCAAGGCAGAATATAGTGCTGGCTGGTGTGGGATTGTGTTCAATATTCAAACGAGCACGTTCTGCTTTGGTTGGAGCTCTGGGAAGAGACCAGAGGATTATACCCCACCTTCCTACCCATAGCTGCCCTCTCCCCATGCTAGCGCTTCAAAGATGGCATCACCAACAAGCTAGTGGCCTGCTATGTGGAGGAGGACATGCGGGACTGTGTGCTGGTCCGGGTGTATGGGGAGCGGACAGAGTTGCTGGTGGACCGGGAGAATGAGGTCAGGAACTTCCAACTGCTTCGAGCACATGGCTGCGCTCCCAAACTCTACTGCACCTTTCAGAACGGGCTGTGCTATGAATACATGCAGGGTGTGGCCCTGGGACCGGAGCACATCAGAGAACCCCAGCTCTTCAGGTGAGTAGGGTGCAAGGCATCATTTTCCCCAAGGCTATGGTTTTGAGGTTCTTTTTGTTGTTGTTGTTTTGCATTTTTTTGTTTGTTTGATTTTTGAGACAAGGTTTCTCTGTGTAGCTTTGGAACCTGTCCTGTCACTCACTCTAAAGACCAGGCTGGCCTCGAACTCACAGAGATCTGCCTGCCTCTGCCTCCCGAGAGCTGGGATTAAAGGTGTGTGCCACCAACCCCCCGACTGGTTTTGAGGTTCTCGGCTGGCTTCTTCAGTGTGCAATGGGATTTGTGAAGAAGGTCATAAGTCATATTTTCATATCGCTTTGAAAGTATTTGTTGATATGCTCTACTCAGAGGCAGTAACATTCTAGAAATTTACAGTAGTGTCCACTACAAGGATGAGTTCCCTGGGAACAAAGTGGTCCCATAAATGTATCAAAGGTCAGGTTTTTGGTTTTTCCCCCATTTCTCAAACCTCTGCCCACCCTGTGTCAGATGTGGAAATATCTAGAAGCCCTGGAAATGAAATCTGAGCCAAATTCTGAGGGCATCTTTCTTTCTCTCTCTCTTTCTTTCTTTCTTTCTTTCTTTCTTTCTTTTTTCTTTATCTTATTATTATTATTTTTTTTTTTGGAGACAGGGTCTCTTGATGTTGTCTGGCCATCCTGGAATTTGATGTGTAATCCAGGCTGGCTTCAAACTCAAAGAGACCCATCTGCCTGTGCCTCCCAAGTGTTGGTATTAAAGGTGTGCGCCCCTTGTGCAACTTTGCTCCCATCTTTTGCAGAGTGAAAAGTGTGACAACAAACATCCCTATCCAGGGAGAACCTGACTTTAGCAAACTGGAGATATCCTTCCCCACACTCCTAAACTGAGGGCCCTTTGGTTTCCCTGACAGTGGAGACCCACGTTTAGAGTACCACTGAAGCCTCCATGCAGAAGGCTGACGAACTGGGCCCTGTTCCCAGTGAATACCTGGATATGTAGGGCCTAGGAACTACATTTAACCTTCAAGCCCTGTGGATGCACTATTGTAGGGCCCGCAAGGGGGAGAACTCAACTCCAGTACACTACTCTCTCTGCTCCGGCTGGGTCAGGAAGGGTGGTCAAGCATTACCCTCTTCCTCCCCATAGTGTCATGAGCTATGTGGATGAAGGCCACCAGATTATCATAGTGAGGCTTGGGGAAACTGAGGTTTACTCCTGATGCTGGAGGCAACAGTGCAGGGTCTGCCCAGGTGCTTTGCTTGGCATCTGCAGTGTCCAGGCCAAGAGGAAGGAGACTTTTCTTGCATTCTGAGGGCAGTAATGCCCACCTAGGGGTATTAGGGGTAGGCCTAGCTCTTTAGTGCCTCCTCAGCTGCCCACCAGTCAACCCAAGTAAGTACACTTGGCTGTCTGCATACATGGCTGGCCCTCTACACTCTTCAGTGCTGCCTCAGAGACTGCTGGAGCCCCAGGACATTGTATTTGAGTTGTGTGTTATAGCTGGTGTTGTTGGAGGGGTGTGTGTGTGTGAAGGGCGTGTCCACCTATGTGGGGGTCATTGGCATTCAAGCTGAGTACACCCAGCCTGGAGAGGTGAGGTCAAAGCAGAGTACAGGGGACCCTGCCCTGCTTTTCTCATGGCTCCTCCCTTAGCCTTGTGCAAATAAGCTCACATGTTGGCAGGTCCCCACCACTACTAGTCTCTCTCTGCCTCTGTGAACCTCATGCCATCACTGATCCTCTTTCTGGAAACAATTACCACTGTCAGGAAGATTGAAGGGGGATTTAGGTGCCATAATGAGATGTTGGTGTTTGGGGGAGAGCCAGAAATTGGCGTGGGTGTAGGAGGTAGGCCTTTGGTGAGTTTCCCAGGATGATGCTTTTCCCATCCTGTCATGGTGACAGGGTATCTGCAGGAAAGTGCCCCACCCCCACCCCACCCGCCACCTCATATCCCTTGAGCCCACCCCCAGCCTGGTCTGCTGAGGCTCTTCGGCATGAAAATGCTGAGTGTTGAAGTTACTTCAGTTGCTATTCACACAACAGCCTTTTTGACATTCAAGGAACCGCTCTGTTCAGAAGACACAGGCTGAGCCTCAGGTCTGTGTCTTCCCTTTTCCCAGACCCTTGGTGGGCTATCACCTACCCAGAGACTTCTGACCTCTGTGCACCTACCCAGCTGCTGATGGCCCTCCACCCTTGAGGAAGTGGGAGGCTTGGGGAGGAGCCTGAATTGCCATTATTCTGATGGTGTATGGCTGGTCCCTTCCCAGGCCTGGCAAGGGAAGGAGTAGCCTTAGGACAGCTCTGTTACAAGGTTTCAAACAACCAGAGCCTTTGTTGTCCTTCCTAGTGATTATTATTCCAGCAACAGACAGAGGCAAGAAGCAGAAGCTTGGATGTCGGAGGCTTGGCAGGCAATTAGTGTTGGACTGCAGCAGGGAGGGCTGGCAGAGCCCAGCTGGGACCCCAGCCTCTGTGCTGACCTTGGCACTGGCCTTGGTGCTAGGCTCTTATCAAGGTCCTTCCCGCTCCAGTGGCCAGTCCTCTACTCACCCCTCCTGACTCCCAGCAGACCTCCCTGCTACCCACTCCATTCTCTCCCAGGACCTTGGATAATGTCTGTAGGAGCACTGGAAGATAGAAGGCTGGCTTGTTTTGCGTCCTTGGTATCCACTCACCAGCATCAATGCCCTGTGGTGTCAGAAGGAGCTGCCCTGGGCCAGCCTCCCCCCACCTCGGCCAGACTGATAAAAAGCTAACATTTCCTCCTGGCCTGGCACCAACACCACTTCATGAAAAGGGACCTGCTGCTACCTCTCCAGAGAGGATGGGGCAAAGTCTGGGGGTGGTGTATTGCCCTTATGCCTGGTTGCCCCTGTGTTTTCAGGGGCGGCGATGGGAAGGCTGAGGAAGACCAAGCTCTCGGCCTGGGGTTGTGGGGGGAATGGTCCTCTGCTTTTTACTGGTCTAGCTCTGGAACAAGAAAAGAAGCAATGGCTGAAGGTCTTACTGCACTTCCCTGCCTTCTGCTGAGACCTTGTTTGGGAGACCAAGGGTTCCTGGGAGCTGTCAAGATCCTACACGTGGTCCTCTGGCAAATACCCAGAAGAACCTACCTTCCAAACTCTTTCTGGTCAGGAGGGGCTGGGCAAGAGGGCAAGCCCAGTACTGACGCACTATTCCTTCCGTCTCTGTTGTAGGTTAATTGCCTTAGAAATGGCAAAGATCCACACCATCCACACCAATGGCAGACTGCCTAAGCCTACCCTGTGGAATAAGATGTACCGTTATTTCACGCTGGTGAAGGATGAGATCAATCCCAGGTACAGAGATCTGAGAGGGCTCAAGGTTGCCCATGGCTCTGCCCTGCCCCCTATTTTTGCAAGCAACTCTTAGAGGAGGTTCAGGGATGCAGGTCCCAGTGAGGAGTTTCTCCTGGGCATCTTCTGCCCTGAGCCACAGTCCAGGCAGAGGGAGGCCATTGGTTGCATCTCAGTTTTGCACACTAGCCCTTACTTCTCTTTGAGTTTCCTTACAGTGTCAGGGAGGAGGACCAGAGACAACTCCCATTTTTCTAAGCAGAAACTAGGGTTGCAAGGGGGAAGCGCTGCTCCCCTGTCAGGTTGTTGGTATGAGGCTTTAGTTTCTCATCCCAGGACTTAACTCTGCATGAGCTGTCTTCTGTCTTTGGAACCATGGGCCGGCGTAGCCTCTGAGAACCTGAGGCACTGAGCTCAGTGGGTCATAGACTAGACAGCAAGCCCTTGGAATGCCACGGTTTCCTGCTGATTGCCTGGACTCCTCTTAAGCCTGTGTATCTTTGAGAGCCATGTCCCCTATTGTGTTCTTCTCAAATCCACACCCAAACTTCCCCTTTGCTCAGTGGCCTGCAGGTACCCAACCAACTCCTGACACACATTGGGGACTACAGCATGGAAAAGAGTCAACAACATGGCCCTGCAGGGATTAAACATCAACTTTTTTTTTTTTTTTGAGACGGTGTTGCCCCCCACTGGCCTGTAACTCACTATGTAGATGTGGCTGGCTTTGAACTCACAGAGATAAGCCTGCCCCAGTTTTTCAAGAGCTGGGATTAAAGGCGAGTGTTATCATACCCAGCAAGCACCGACTTTTAAAATGTATTTGAATGTGTTTGATTGACATATAATTATACATACAGTATGCGATGGTTCGATCGAGGCAACACGTGTCTTCACTTCAAATGTTTATCATTTCTTTGTGCTGGACATTCAGAGTCCCCTCTTCTAGCAATTTTGAAATACACGATTAATTTGAACACTCCTTCTGCTGAAGTGTCACAGGAGTGGCGGGAGGGAAGCCTGAGAGAAACAAGTCTCATTCTCCGCCCCGCCCCCTTCCATGGCAGTCATTAATTCCCACCCCATTGTTTATCCCTTTCACACCCATGACATTATCTAAACTTTCACACCCAGTGGTTATGCTATGAGTGCCCAGGATAGCCTTAGCCTGCCCTCTGTCTGACCATGTTCAGATCCTGGGACAAGAACTATATCCCTGAAGACCAGAGCGCGGCATGTCCTCTCAGCCAGCACCATTATTTGACAGGTGGAGATGGGACTTGCTGTTTCTAGGTTCAAGCCTGGTGCTCACACATGGATAGACTCTACAGTGTCTGTTGACTGCTGTCTCTGTGTAGCTGTGGTGGATGATCTTGTAAGGACGAGAGAGGTCCTTGGTGAAGAGCTGGCCAGCTTCCTTTGTTCTTCTCGTGCTTTTGGCCTCCAGGAAATCCAGATTTAGCTTCTTTGAACCTCTCTAAGGAATCATCCCCTTACCCTTTAGAACCGCCTCGAACGTCCCACTGCAGGACAGTGTGGAACAGTCATTGAAACTAGATGGAGCATCTTGGACTCCAGGCATTACCTCATGGCCCTGACTTATCCAGCCCTTCATCTCACAAACATTGACTGGGATTAAAACGGTACAAAAGTGAAGGTGATTGTGACACAGGCCCTGCCTGTAAGGAGTTTAGGAGCCATCTGGGTAAACAGAACATGCCTGTACTTGGCACAAAAGAAGGCAGGGTGTGTAATACATAAGCAGGAGTAAGAAGGGGCAGCAAAAGCCATCTTGGCAGAGGTCGCAGGTCACAATGAGAGGGGCTGCTCCAGCTCAGAAGACAGCCTGGAGGGAGGTGAGGTGTCTGTTGAAGGTTGCCAAGTAAGTGAATGAGGCTGGAGCCACGGGAGTGGGGAATAGGAGTTGGGGGCAGGGGGCTTGGGTACCAGGCTAAGGAGCCAGGATTGATGTGAACAAGCATGGGGAATCATGAAAGTGTGTTTGGCTTTTGTTTGTTTGAGACAGGGTCTCACTATGTAGCCCACAAATGGCCTCAAACTCATGTAGCCCAAGCCAATCTGTCTTGAACTCATGGTCTTACTGCTCCAGTCTCCCAAGTACAAGTGTGTGCCCCCGTGCCCACGATTATGAAGGTATCTGAGCCAGAACTATGGTTTATGAAGGGGCCTATGGGCATAAGCACAGCTTTGGTGAGGGGACTGGTTGTGCACGTAAGGTAGGGAGAGATAAGCTGGGGACAGGTTCTAGGACTGGGAGACCTAAGCTAGGAGAACCAGGTTCCCCCATAGAGTGCTTGCTGAGTGCACCTTGCCAGTCCAGGTCAGGGAGTGCTTCTACTCGACCAGGACTTCATGTAGGTGGCCTCCCAGAAGCACAAAACACATCTGGGGCAGCATTGCTTGGGGCAGCCTGGTGGGTAGATGGGAATGGAAGACAGACACTGTGTCAGAGACTGTAGAAAGCGACTTGGTGGCACTGGTGGCTTTTTGGCCCTGGGTGGGGCAGTATGGGCAGGTAACTACCTTAGGGACATCATGAGGGAATATTGGTGGGTGGGCTGATGAAAGGGCACAGGGGGAAAGCCGAGAGACTGGAACAGTAGACAGTTGGTCCCTTAGAGAAGAAAGAACAAGCCGAGAGACTGGAACAGTAGAGCTGGTCCATTAGAAAAAACTTTTGCTTCTCCAGTGGGAACTGAATGAAGATGGCCAAGCAGCCCCTCCTGCAGCAGGAGCTCCAGGCCTCTTAGAGACCCCAGCCCTCATCCCTTCTGCTGTTTCTGGGGTGAGAATGTTTCTGGGTGGCTGCGATGGCTGCTCTGCTGCCAACCCTACAGAGGCGGAGGGATTTGGTGCTGGCAGAGGCCCACATGTTCAGGGAGGGACATTGCAGTCAGAGGGGGCCCTGGAGATAGGCCGGGTTGTTCTCATAGTAAGTATCACAGTGGCCTTGGCGTGGCAGGGTAGGGTCAGACTGAGGCCAGTGACGGGGAGCCAGCACCTGGCTGTCACAGGCATGATTTTCAGACTGAGACCTGGGCCAGCCAAAGGGATTCTCCTCTGTCTTTTTTATCTTGAGACAGCCTCAGAGGAAGAGGAGTTCCCAAAGTAGCTTCAGGGAGGGGCATGTGAATGGCTGAGGATGAGTCTTGGCCTCCTTCCTCTCTGCCTGTGGGCTGCCTGGCCCAGAGAAACCATCTCAGAGACAGAGGGAACAGGTCAAGGGTGCACAGACCTGTGGTGAGGACACATGGTAGGTAGGCTGGGACCCAGCTGGGCTGAGGTGTTGGGTTTGATGCTCTCATGCTATGAGGCATCTGGAATGAGTGTTTTCTTCCCCTTTCTGGAACCTGCATTTCCCAGTCTTGTAGGATGGAAGACCCAAGACCCCTCTAGCCTTGGCATTTCTTTTCAACAGGGGATATTTTAGATAGCTCTGTCCAGTGGGGAGGTGAACCAGGATACATTTCATTGCCATCTTTCCCTGTGAACCTTTGATGTCCTAGGCAGAGAAATAGGAGTGGAGACCAGGTCCAGCACCCCCTTCCCAGGGGTAGTTCTGAATTTTGAAAGACTATGCTGTTTGGCTTTTCCATTGTACACAGACCTGTGTAACTGAAGGGTCAAAGTTCAGAGCACCTGAGTACGGCGTGTCCTTGCCCAACTTCTGCATTGATTGACCCATGATAGATTATTATTCCCCAGCCCAGCATGCTTGGCAGACCACACAACTTCAGTGTGACATGGGGTGGGGTGGGGTGGGGTGAGGTGGGGTGGGGTAGGGTGGGGGGTGGAAGTAGCCTTGTGCCATCTTGTTCTGCCTTCAAGCTAGTCTAGCAGATACCAGGGACAGGAAGCACTCAACTCAAGGTCACAGGAATTAGTTGCTGGGAGTAGCAAAGCCAGTCTCTCACATGGGGCCGTGTTGGCGGTGTTGTTGTTTCTCTGACATTGCACAGAAGATAGCTTGCCTTGTTACAGCCCTGTGAGATGACTGATTAGACCATAGTCTATGACCTCAGCAGCTGAGGTATGAGGGGCCACATGAGAGCACCCCTCTGCCATGTTGAGAAAGTTCTGTTTCTCCAGTCCCTCCAAGGGTTCTGTTGCTGGGGAGGGGGTTCATCTTAGAGGCACACAAGGTCTCTTAGGGAGTTTCTGGTATGGTCTATTTTGCCTCTTACCCTTAATTCCATGGGCTGCATTCTCTCTTCCTCTGAAACTATGGCCTCTGACACTTGTCACCTCTCCTGTCTTCTCCTGGGTCCCCTTTCCTCACCCTGTCCATTTCACAAAGTAGCAGGGATGCCATTTAGTGAGTGACTTTTTTGTTTGTTTTTTTAAGACAGTGTTTCTCTGTGTATCTCTGCCCTGACCTGGAACTTGCTCTGTAGACCAGGCTAGTCTCGAACTCACCAAGATCCACCAGAATACTGGGATTAAATTTGTGCAGCACCACTGCCCTGCTTATTTAGTGACTATTATGTTCTGACAGCCACTTTTTATGACCAGGTTTTAACCTGCTTTTCAATGTAACCCTGGGAGCCAGAAGGATAGGACACGCTCATGTGTGACAACAGTGGGGGCTCTGCTGGGCTGACCTTTTACTGAGGGCTCTACAGTGAATGAACAATTGGACTAGAGTTTACGGCTTGCCTGTACTTACTTTTTTTTTTTCCCACTGTCTAGCCTTTCTGCAGACGTCCCTAAGGTGGAGGTGTTGGAACAGGAGCTGGCCTGGCTCAAGGAACACCTGTCCCAGCTGGAGTCCCCTGTGGTGTTCTGTCACAATGATCTGCTCTGCAAGAATATCATCTACGACAGCACCAAAGGTAAAGCCCCCCAAGCCCCTCAGATATGAGGACATGGGCCAGCTGGCTGGTCTGCTGGCTTCAGGGGTCCAAAGACAAGGACTTTGCTTTATCATGGAAAACCCTGGTATGCCTTATGGTGATCTTAACTTGTGAAAAAGAAGAGGAAAGGGGAACAGGAAAGTGCCTTCTAGAAAACCATATTGCAAGAAGGAACTCAATCATAGGTGGGAAGGCCTTCACCGTCAGGACACCCAGGCCATGTGTCCTGATGACTTTATGAGCTTCTGAGGACACCATGGCTTCCCCAAACCTTGAGAGGGCAGGAGGATAGGGAAGAGAAGGTTGCCTGCTTCCTACTGTTCCTGAGAATGCAGTTCCCCTGGGAATACAGGAGTCCCTCATTACACACTGAAGATTGGCTGTGGGACATCTGAGACTTGCAACAAGTCTCCTTTAAGTCAGCAGAGTGGAGCTTTGCAGCGAGAGTGCTTGGTTACCATGTGTGAGACCCAGAATCCTGTCCCCAGCACCCTGAAAACAAATAAAAATAAATATCCAATACAATGGAAATTTGAGCTAAATGGGTGTTAAGCCATGTTGTCTCAGGAATGACAAAGGGGAAAAGTCTGTACATGTTTAGTACATCTGAAAGTTTAAATTAGTATTTTATGAATATGATTATTGTGCCTGTATGTATGCCTGTGTATCATAGGGATATGGTGCCTTACAGAAGCCAGAAGATGGTGTTGGATCTCCTGGACCTGTGGTTATGGTTATCGTTAGTTATGATTGGTTATGAGCCACCATGTGAATTCTGGGAATTGAACCTCAGGTCTCTGCAAGAGTAGCCTATACTTTTTTGTTGTTGTTTGGGTTTTTGTTGTTGTTGTTGTTGTTGTTTTGCTTTTCGAGACAGAGTTTCTCTGTGAAACAGTCCTGGCTATTCTGGAACTCACTCTGTAGACCAGGCTGGCCTCGAACTCACAGAGATCTGCCTGTCTCTGCCTCCCGAGTGCTGAGATTAAAGGTGTGTGCCACCACCAGCCAGCTAGTCTGTAGTCTTAACCACTGGGCCATATCTCCATCCCTCAGATCAAATTTTAAAGATTTTCAGTCTATATTAGTTGAACCCATGGCTTTGAGACCCAGAGACATGATATTGCTTTCTGATCCTTAGCTATGCTGTGGACGGATAGATGCCTTTAGAGAGGGAACCTGAGGACCAGCTAGAGTGGGCTGGAGCTATAAGAAAGGGGGGGCAATGGGGGACAGATGAAGTCTGACCATGCCCCATGTCCAGATCTGGGACCAGCTCTCACTGCTGCTTCTTCTCCTCACAGGCCATGTGCGGTTCATAGACTATGAATACGCAGGGTACAACTACCAGGCTTTTGACATCGGCAACCACTTCAATGAGTTTGCAGGTAGGGGTATTACTCTGACCTCAGTGCCCTCCTTACAATGGGGTGCCGAGTCTACGGGGAGGGCCATAGGGGGTTCTAGACTTGGGGCATGATGGGTGGGAGGTGGTCACAGCCTGCTTTTAAAGAGCAGCCTATCTCACAGAAAGGATCTCCTCTCCAGAGCTGACCTCTGCTAGCTTGTGTGACAGGCAGTTTGGTACAAATGAAGAAAATGCATTCACTGTAGGGTCCCAGGGGCTACTCAGCCTGACATGTGAATTAAGGAGGATCCCCTTCCAAGTGGGGCTCAGTTGTGCAGTCCTGTAATCTCAGCTACTTGGGGGTCTGAGGCAGGAGGATCCTAGTTCAAAGCCTTTCTGGGCTACAGTATGTGTTCAAGGCTAATCTGGCAAAAGAAAGAATACCCTATCCTCAGGATAGGCACAGCCCCCATCAGCTTGGCAAGCATTCCTTCATACACAGTACAACTTGTACAGTTGTCCATGAAGGCCTTGAACACAGATATGTGAACAAATGAGCTGTAAGTAGCTGTTTACCTGTGTCCTGAAGCAAATAGTCTGGCAGAGTTACTTAAAAATATTTTCACAACTTGTTCAACCTTAGGTTTGTTGTTACTAGTGGTAGGATTCAGGTCACTGACCTCTGTGGCTGTAAAATGGAGATGATGTAATACCTACATCACACCATTGATGTTAAGATACACACACAAGATACACAAACCTTCAGTCCCAGTGCTCAGGAGGCAGAGAGAGGCAGGCAGATCTTTGTGAGCTTTAAGCTGGCCTGGTCTATATATTGAATTCTATAACACCCAGGACTATATAGAAAGACCTAGTCTCAAAAAAAAAAAAAAAAAAAAAAATTCCCCTCCCTACTCCCTTAGACTTGACAGCTATACCATAAAGGTATGGCAATCTAGACCCACCTATGGAAGGGCAACGGGGCATAGGACCACAGAGACAACTCCTCAGTGGAGTTGGACACAGTTGGAGGGTCATCTGCAGGTTGGTATGTGTGTTGGCTTGCCAGTGTGCCATGGCTGGCCTCTAGGGCTTAGGAAAGTTGAGATGCCCTGGCCAGCTGTGGAGTCATCCCTTGGCCATTCCCCTAACTAGCCCAGCCCAGGTTGAAGAATTACATCTGTTTTAGAGCCTCAAAAGATCAGGTCTGTGCAGTTGCTTGCACTCAGGAGCCCAGCTCTTTAGGACAATCAAAGGGAGGGGTTGGGCCTCAGCTGGGCTGTGATGAGCTGAAGCAGAGGCCTGGCCTGCAGGGCACATGTCTGGCAGTGCTCAGCTACTGGGAGGCTTTCCCAGAGGTGTTAAGTCCTTATCCACAGAGCACAGTTGAGCTGGAGCTTCTCCAAAGGGGTGGGATGTAGCCTTTGGGAGCTGGCAGGCAGCCTCTGGGCAGTAGGAAGATACAGGCCCAACCCAACACCACCTCTAACTGGCTGCATGCCCTGGGCCTTCTCATGTGCAAGGGAGATTCTTTACTACCCACACGCTTGGAACTTGGAAACTCTGCTTCTCTGGGAATATCAGGGACATGTGGGAAGGGTATAAGAAGGGAAAGGAGAGACCCTGGAGACGTGGCCCAGCTCTCCTCCCACCTTAACTAAACTACTTATAATTCCTGGCCTACCCTGTGCCAAGCACACACCTGGAGGATCTGGGAAGCGGCTTGAAAACACTTATGGCAGATAAGGGTGCAAACGGGGCTGTGTCAGTCATGGGGGGCAGTGGAAGTGGGGCACTTCCCTGGGAAATGCCTGTTCCAGCAGCAACATTTAAAATTGGCAGCCAAGTCCAACCCCGTGTCTGGAATGTGAAGGAATTAGGGCCCTGAAATGGAAGGACTGTTCTGAGGTCAAGTAGTGCCAAGTCTGAGACCTTCTGTGAGGCATCCTTTTATAGAGGGGCAGGTACTGCCCTTTTAGAGGCACTGCCTTGAGATTCCCACGACTTTCAGGGCAGTACCTGGCCCTTGACCACTCAGCCTCTTTCCTCAGCCCTAGGCAAGTGGTACCCAGCTGGGCAGAGGAGACCCCCTCTACTGACTGAGCGGCCCTCACAGGGCTCCTCCTCAGGGCAGCCTACAGCTCAAGGTAGGAGACTCCTAGGCACAAACCTGAGAGGTGCTTTTCCAGCAACTTCTGTCTCACTTGTCTCGTAGGTGTGAATGAGGTCGACTACTGCCGGTACCCAGCTCGGGAGACCCAGCTACAGTGGCTGCGCTATTATCTTGAGGCACAAAAAGGAACAGCTGCGACTCCCAGAGAGGTGGAGCGGCTTTATGCACAAGTCAACAAATTTGCCCTGGTGAGTGCCTGGACCTGCCAGTCTCCCACCCACAGCCCAGGGTCAGCTGTGCTTATCGAGGGCTTCCATTGCTGTGATGAAACATGACCAGAAGCAACTTGGGTAGGAAAGGTTTTATTTTGCCTTACAGCTTAAGTCTATCATCTAGGGAACTTGGAGGTAGAAATTGTAGAGGCTAGGAGGAGTGCTGCTTACTGCTTTGTTCCCCCTGTTTTCTCATGCTATCCAGGACCACCAGCCTAGGGAGTAGCACTGCCCACAGTGGACTGGGCCCTCCCAAAGCTGTCACGAAAATGCCCTACAGACTTGGCTACAGGCCAATCTAGTAGGGTTATTTTCTCAATTTAGATTCCCTCTTCCAAAATGACTTGTGTCAGTTTGACATAAGACTAGCCAGTCTAGTTGTGGACTGCACCCCACCAAGAAAGGGTCTGAAAACAGCCACTTCAGGTGCTCCCTTAATGTTCCTGCCACCCATCTCTCTAGAATATTTCCAAGAAACACCTCAGCTTCCTAGCTCAGCAAACCTGTTTGGATGGGTGCTTCTCTCAGCTAACCTTAACATTTCATACTACACTAAGACCCTCCTTGTAACCACCACCACTACCTAGCTCACAACTTACAGCCTTGCCTTCCAGGCTCCCCCCACCAATAGTGTGTGCCGAGATGATGAGGCCTGCTAACACACAGGAAGACAAGCCAGCTCTAGGTTTCACTATTTATAACAGAGCTTAGAAAATCTGTCTTTTCTGTGATTGATTGCCTGTCCTGATCTATGCTGGTCCAAACCTGACCCTCTTCCTCCCTTGCTGCACCTTAAAAGCAAATCTTCTCTTGCTCAACTTTTAAGCAAATACAACACCATTCTTGTTGGCTCGCCTACGTCCCTTCTAAGCCATGGAAAGTGAAGTGGAGGGAACCCTCCTTAGCAACTGTGTGACCAAGGCTTGGGGCATGTGGGAAAAGCCTAAGGGTATGTCCCCATGCCTAGGAAGGTGATGGTGTTGTAGCTTCCAGGGGTAACTGGGAATCATGGCCTTCTGGTTCTTAGAGCCTGGGGTGGAGAAAGACAGTCTGGGGAACCTTGAAGTCTTTGGAGCTCCTTCTGCTCACCTGGATGCTGAGCTCTGGCTAGAACTGGCTCTGTTTACCTTTTACTAATGGGTAGTGAGTCCCCAAGTGCTATCCAGTGGCCTGGCCTCCACTTCTAACAACTGTTTAGCTCTGCAAGATACCCAAGGTGGCTGTCACTCTTGCTCTTGAAGGCTGTGACAAGTGTGGCCTTGTAGGGCTGACCCTCTCTGGCCTGTTTGCAGGCCTCACATTTCTTCTGGGCACTCTGGGCACTCATACAGAACCAGTACTCCACCATCAGTTTTGACTTCCTCAGGTGAGTATGGGGAGATGTGTGCGGGAAGATACGTGTGTGGGGCGAAGAAGGGAGAGCCCTGACTACCACATGACCAAGCTAGTCAAAACAATGCCAGAGTCCTTCCAGTGCACAGATGACCCTACCCCAGCTCCCCAGGGAGCCCCACCAAACCTAGTGAAAGAAATCCCATTGCCCACTAAGCCTCCTATACTGTCCTACCCAGCACCAGGGCCCACTCTGCTGGTGCCATCTTAGCCAGAGCCTGGAACAAATAAAGACAGGCCTGAGAGTCGGTGTGAAAGGATGGAAGACCAGTGAGTTGGCTCACTGGTGGGTAAAGGCACTTGTGGCCCAGCCTGGTGACTTGAGTTTGACCCCCAGAACCAGTGGGAGGAAAGAATAGAATCCTGAAAGTTGTCCTTTGACCTCCACGTGCACCGTGGGACACACACCCCTATACACACAGTAATATTTTTAAAAACTAAAGAGGAGCTACAGAGAGCAAGGGTCTTGCACAGATCACTCGGGTGATTTAGATCTACCCATACTGCCTCCTGGGACCACTCATATCTACCTCTTCCTTAAGCTTTTAGGGGTCATATCCAAACTCTTACTGTGACAGCTTGGGGGCCCTTTAAATGAAGTCCCTTTGTCCTTGCATGCGGGGAATCAATTCCTCCATTCTGTCCCCACCCACTCAGCTATAGCACTCAGCTGGCTCAGATACTGGGGCACACTTCAGAGTATGTTGCAAAACCAACAAAGACAGAAAATCAAGGGCATTTGCAAGGAAACTGGAACCCTGTAGGCCTTAGGACTATGAGAGGTGATAGAATCATGTGCACAGGGACAGAACAGAACGGTCACCGCAACGGGACCAGAAAGTGGCAAGAGTTAACAGTTTTAGCTTTGAAAGACTAAAAAGTTCTGGAGGTCCACTGTGAAACAATGGGTATATCTGCAAATAACAATAAAAACAAAACACTAAACACATCTTTGGGATGGTTGCCCCAGCCTGGCTGAAGAACATGAAATGACAGTGAAAATATTTAAGAGTTGATTTGCCCCTAGCGGGGACTGTGATAGTGCATGTCTTTAATTCCAGCCCTTAGGAGGCAGAAGCAGGCAGATCTCTGAGTCTGAGGCCAACCTGATCTACAGAATTCATTCCAGGACAGCCAGGGCTACACAAAGAAATGCTGTCTCAAAAATAAAATAAAAAAAAAGCAAAAAGAGTTGACATGCCCAGGCCTAGCGAGACTTGAGCTGGGAGGCAGCAGAGTCTTTGTGAGGCTGCCAGTCTCCGTGTTCATCCACTTCCTTGCCCTGTCCCTGGCAGGTATGCAGTGATCCGATTCAACCAATACTTTAAGGTGAAGCCTCAGGTGTTGGCCTTGGAGATGCCAAAGTGACCAGCCTCCTGCTCCTTTCACAACCTTCTGCTGCTGGACCTGCTCCCCAGGGTACCCTTCTGTCTTGGGGTTGGCACCCTTGGGGAAGGTGGGCAACCATGGTGGAGGCCCCCAGAGGATGCCAATGAAGACTTCATTTTCCTGCTTGGAGGGCCTGAAACCTAGTGTTTGGGGCGGGGGTCCCCTTCACTCTGCCAGGCTTGGAGAGGAAGTGCCTGCAGCTAGCTTGGGGCCTAGACTGTCACCCTGTGAGAGCACACCATTGCCAGCCCAGGCCCTCTGGAGCTTGGGCTGCCTCAGTTTGTCCTTGACCCTTCCTAATAAGGGAGGGGAAGGGCTCATTTCTACCTCTGGTGCCCCAGCCTCCAGCTGAACCACATCTGCCTCAGGTGAGAGGTGTTGAGCCCCAAGCCAGCAGGAAGCCAGCTTGTCACCTTGGAGACAGAGCTCCCAGCAAGGCTCTGCCAGCAGCTGCGGCATCTGAGCTGCTAACTTCTCCAAGCCAGATGCCCTCCAGTCACCCCTTCCCCAGCTCCCGGGGTGCTTCAATTAGGCCCCTGCAGAGGAGAGGGAACAGCAGATCTGGAGTAGATGTGGCCTTGGATTGGGTGGCAGGTACCAGAGCCAGCAGCAGCCTCCACCTCTCTCCCCTCCAAGGATCTGTCCAACTCAGTCTTCTATTGTGAACACAACCAAGGTCTTCCCATTTGGGAATCAGCAGTGGAAGCAGCATAGGACCCAGGCACCTCGAGGCAGCACAGTTGCCTGGGCATGGCCAGATACTGAAAGTGTTACCAGCTCAGTCTCCACCTCCCAGTCCTTACAGTCCCTAGGGGGCAGCTGTAGGCCCCACTGTGATTCATTTGTAAATTATCATGTTTCTCTGCATTAAAATGTTTGTTTCTGGAATGCTGTCTCCAGAAGGACAATGGCTCAGAGCGTGACCATTATAAATGTGGAGGAGCTGGACGAGCCTCAACCTCCCTTCTGCTGCGCCTTTCGGGTTTGCTCTTGCTTGAGTTACATCTCTGATGCCATCCTTGCCTGGCATCCTGTAGATCTGGGCAAGGCTAATGCTCTCGTCCACAGCCTCTCCACTTCCACCACCCTGTCGGTTGCCTCTGTAGTTCACTGGTTACAGGGGAGCCATGGATACAGACTATGAGAATTTGGGCCAGTCGAGTGAAGGGCCTTCAGAAGACAGAATAGAAGACTTTGGTTTCCTTCCACAGTCCTCTCTGGCCCTCAGCTATTGGGGTGGGAGACAGCCACTCTGACAGCAGGCAAGACGATTTCTGCATTCAGCCTCCTCAGGAGGCCAGAGCAGAAACTCGAGTGAGAAAATCCCAACCATCATGACTAGTTGCAGCTGGCCGGGGCAGGGGTGGGTAAGAATCTCGTTGTCTGGCATTCACCTGCAAATGTACCAGGCGTCATGGCAACAGCTTTCGTGGGCACTGGCAGCTAGGGCCTTCAAGGTCACATGCTCCAGTGGAGGCAGCAGATGACAGAGGACCTGGGGGAAAAGACGTGCCCAGGCATACAGATGATGCCACAGCTGTAGATGCTGGTGGCCATGGAAATAATTACATAGCAATGACCACATCTTTATTCTTTTTCAGCTACCCTGGAACCAAGAACAGAGTTAGTCCTGTCCAGTTGGCTTCACAGGCAGCCAGCTTCCTAGGGCCTTTGTGTTATCAACCCGTAGACAAGTATGCTGCACTGAATAGAGTGTCTGGGGCAGGCAAGTAAGTAGGTAGGCTGGAGGAGCAGAGGGCCCTGCACTCCTTCCCCACAAAGCCCTAGTCCCACTTCCCTCCTGTCACTCCCCAGGGCTGACTTTTGACCTGTGGAGAGGTGGGCAGGGGCCAGGTGTGCTTGTGGCTAGCTTTCCTGATAGTGACCAGAACACACTGTCCCTGTTTCTGCCCACCTGACCATGCCCTGCTTCTCATAGGAAGAGGTAAAGTTCCGGTTAGCCAGAGGACTTGGGGTGGCATAGCAGCTAGATGAGGACCGTGGATATGGGCAGTAAGGGCCCAAGCCCTCCAGACTGCAGGGGATCATCACAGGGCAACAGGGGGAACTCAGGACTGGAAAGACTTCCAGGGAGATTACAAGATATAGTTTTGACCAAGGTGGGAGTTTGGGGTGAAGTTAGGAGCTTTGAGCTGAGCAGCTCCCCCTAGTGGCCACTTAACCAGGGCAGGCAGCAGCCAAGTAAGTTTCCAGAACCCTGGGTTGGTCAGGTGTGAGGACAGCAAGGAAAAGCAGCCAGAGCTCTGAAGGGCAGGGCTGGGAATGAGGACACTCCCTGACTCACCAGCACGGTAAAACTAAGAACCCCCCCTTGCAGTGACAAGTCCGAACCATTAGTTCCTGGGTTCTGAAGTTCCTTCGACCTCTAAATGTCTTTGCTGAAGTGTGTGTGTGTGTGTGTGTGTGTGTGTGTGTGTAGCCAAAACAGTGATCTTTGAGACTATCAGCTCAGGTTCAATCTCAAAATACACAGCATCTCTCTTTGCTACCCAGAAACTGAACACTATCTTTCCCCTCTTGCCCCCTTTTCTGGACTAGATGACTAGCCACGTTGGCCCATTCCTCTAAGGATACCTACAAGGATCCTTCTATTCTCACAGGCTGATTCTCAGCCCTTCCAGAGGATAGTGGCTTTTTCTAAAGAGGGTTTGAACTAGGCTAATACACTTCGGACTAAACCTGTGTGGGATACACACTGCCCCATAGTCTCGCTCACTGAGGACGTAACCCTGTTAATATGACCCGGCTCTTGGAGTTGTTATTCAGTCTTGCTTCCCCCATTCCACGCTGATGGTATAATTTAACCAAGACTCATCTTATAGACTTTGGGTCTTTCATCCAGTCCTGTCTCCAGCAATGATGTAACAATGATGCCTTTGAAATCCCCATTCAAAGTGCAAGGTCATCACAAAGTCTTGAACATCTAGAGACACTGTTCCCTTAACAAGTATGGCAGGGAGCCCACAAGACAGCTCCTGAGTGTGCGTGATGGCTCTTGTGGGATGAGCCCACAGCTTTCCCTGGATTCAAGGGGCTCCCTCTCCAGAGAAGGGGTAAGATTCACGGAGAAGTTTGAGTCTCTTGCTTTCAGGTGGGACAGTGAAGCCCAAAGGAGAGAGCTGAGCCACTGTTCTCCAGGCCACTGCAGTGATTCCCTGAACATCAGTGTGTCACTAACAGGCCTGTCCTTGGTCTCCTTGTCAAAGTGGTTCTTCCAGACCCGATAATGCCATATGCTGCCACCAGGGGGCAGCAGTGCCTGGCTAGCGCCAGACTTGGGAATGGATTCAAGCCAGCCTCAGCTGAGCAAGGGTCTGAATTCTGAAATGGTCGGTCTTTATTATGCCATCAGAAAACAAATGTGCTGGTTAAGTTATTCATCATTATCTTCTTAGTAACAAAATAAAGCACTATCTATGTTTACAGTCATAAAAAGAAACAGTCTGGAGAGAAAAAGGGTCATGGGGGGGGGGCACCTGGCCATGTGGGGCTTGGGGTCATCTCCCTGGCTTGGGACTTTTCCAGATCTTTGGAGCTAGGTGCTAATGTCTTTGCTTTTCTTGGGAAACAACCAGGAAGTTTATTGGGAGTGAAGCCCATTCCCCAGGACAGAGTGGGGGAGGAAGGAACCCGTCCCAAGCTCATGAAGAAGGGATAGAGGCAAGCTGCCATGGGGTCCCCTCTGCGGGGCTGTCACTGACAAAAGAGGAGCCATCAGTCCTCTGGCCCCCATGCCTGGGACTCAGGTTGAGAATCAGGACATAGCCCCTTGGAGGCTGAGGCACGCTCTCACAGTACTAGGAGCTAAAAATGGCTCCGTGGGAAATGACTGGCAAAGTCAGGGGGGAGGAAAGGGGTCGGCGTGGGGTCAGGAAACTGCCAGTCCCAGGGGCAGGCTGGGTCCTACAGAAACCCAAAGAATCCAGTGAGCGTGGTGGGAGCAGGGACAGATGGAGAGATAGAGAGAGAAATGCACACTGGGAGAGAACACACAGAACCTGAGACACCAGACTGACAAAGAGGTAGCAATTTGGGGACAAAGAAGCACAGGAGAGGCCCCCAGAGAAGCATCAAGAGACACATCACAGAGCTCATCAACATGCCTGGCTCACAGCAGCCACTTAGCAAATACCTTCTGCCCATAGAGGGGAGATGAAAAGTGTGAGAACGCACACACGCGTACACATACATACACACACACACACACACACACACACACACACATACACACAGTGGCCAGAGGCACATGGACTTGGAAGACAAAGACAGGATAGAGAGCCAGACCCTTCTGTACAAAGTACAAAGTGATCTGAGTGACAGAGAGTGTCCTGGGAGCTTCTGGGGCAGACATGTTGTCCCACCATGGCTGGTTTGGCCAAGACAAAATGGAAACAAAGCATGTTTGGGGACAGGTGTGTACCTGCCATCCCCTCAGGCAGGTAGGACTACAAGAGGGAGTACATCCAGTGTTCCCTGGCCATTAGCCCCAAGGGCCAAGACCTCAGCCAGCTTGGCCCATCACAGCTACAAGAATCCCACCCAGCCAGGCCATTAACTCCTCAGATGTGCCCGAAGAGAACACCCCCCACCCCCCACATACACACTCCTTGGGAATGTATCTACAAGTGCACAGCTTCACCCATCACCTGGGCACACCCAAGTCCAAGTACCAACATAGTTCAGGATGGCTGTCTGTGCCTGTTGGCTTGGGAACAAGGTCTTCCCCAGTGGAAACAGGCCAGGCCCAGCTAGCTGGGGATCAGTCTGTGAGTACCACCAACTCCCCATCACTCTTCTCTTCGCCCTCTGAGTCCTCGTCCTCGCTGTACCGGTACATCTCTCCATCAGCCACTGAGTGCCTGTCATCTGTGCCCTCCCCTTCCTCCCGGAGGCTGCAGGTATTGATGATGACCGGCATGTTGGGGTCCAGGCCCTGGGGGACATAGTGCTCCACCAATGGTTGTGCCAGGGGCATGCCTGCTGCCCGAGGAAACAGGACATCTGAGGAGCTCACCTGTGCCTGGCCAGCCTGCGGGCTGAGAGGCAGAGAAAAGGTGCAGTTACAGATGTACCCACAAACCCTCCCAGCCCACCCCACTAGGTGTCCTCCAGGCCTCACAGGCATGCATCCAACTCCTGTCCCGACTGGGGAACTGTCATACCCTGGACCCTGTGTGTGCATCCTGATGGCCAAATTAACTGTCAGCTGGAAAATCTAGAGCCATGTGTATTCTTTGAAGGTGGCACCTGAATACTATTTCATTTTAGTGCCACTTTCTACAGGACTCCACTATTGTGCTTGCCAGGATTATAGTTAAGGAACCTTTCTATGGGATGAACCCCTGTAGTGCATCTGAACTCGCCCTGCATTTGTCAGGCAGCGGGTACCCCACAGTCATTCTGGGTGTGACCCAACCCCCGATCACCAAAGCCTCACCCAAAGTCATCATCTATCAGGAATAATGCACAGGCAGATGACACACAGATCTGCACACAGATGCCCAGTTGGCAGCCACACAAACCCTGCCTGCCTCACACAAAGGCCAGCCACACATGAACCCAGCCTCTCACAGCAGCCACAAGCTGCCTCTGGCCACCAGGGAAGGCCTGCTCACGGGATGGTGTAGCTCTGGCGAGCACCCTGGCGCCGTGTTCTCATCAGGGCCTTGTACTCGCCCACACGCAGCCGCCGTCCCTCCACAACGCAGGTGCGCTTAGGCCTTGGCTTGTACTTGTAATCGGGGTATTTCTCCAGGTGCTGCCGACTCAGACGGGCCTGCTCCTCATAGTATGGCTGCTTCTCCTGGTTTGTCATGGACTTCCAGCGAGAGCCTGATCCAAACCCAGGCAAGAACTCAGGGCCAGACTCTCTTGAGTGACCCCAGGCCCCGAGCTCTAGAAGCCCCGATTGGACCCTGGTCCCCAAGTGGGATCAACAGGAGATACAGGTGGAAGCACTCAGCAAGGGCCTGGCCCCGTGTGGAGGGAACGGAGGAGACTGGTAACTAACGACAGGCAGTCGGCACCACCCTCATGCTGAACAACCCCCTCCCCCCAGGTATCTTCCCAAGGGCATTCACAAGAGAGAAGCCACCAAGCATCTGTTGTCAGTCTCAGGTGCAGCTCTGTGGTAGAGCACCTGCCGAGCACGTGCCAGGCCTGAGGCTGCACCCCCAGCTCGACAAAGCGAGAAGGAAACCCTGGTGCTCCAGACAATAAACCTGCGCTGCTACTGGAGGGCTCAGCCACGAAGAAAACATTACCCTCACCCTGCCTCGTCTGCCCTGCCCCCTCCTCAGTCTCAGACACTATGTGGCATTTAAAGTCTGGATACTGATGATCCATAATACCAATCTCCCGTTTACTGCCATAGCACAGGCCAGGAGGCATTGGGGATATGGGCCTGGTAAAAATACACAAAGTTCCAGGGGAAGGAGCAACCAGAAGAGCCTTGCACGGGTACAAGGTCCCTGGATCCAGCTGCCCATCACATCTCATCTCCCACACCCTCTAAGATTCTACCAGGGTTTACCAAGGCATGCAATATCACCAAGCAAGCCCAAGTAGACCCTGCTGACTCCTGGGACCCAGTCCTACTGAACTCAACTCCTGAACTCAACCCCCTAAACTGTAGAGGACCCATCCTCTGGCCTTTACCAAGAATCTTGCTGATGCTGGAGTTGTGCATGTCTGGGAAGGCCTGGAGAATTTTCCTCCGCTCATCCTTGGCCCACACCATGAAGGCATTCATGGGTCTCTTGATGTGGCTGCTGTTCCGGGACTCGGAGAAATGGCGAGCACCTGGAGGATGGGTAGACAGAGTCAGGCAGGGAGAGTCAGCTCTGGGGCTGGCAGAGACATCCCTTGCATAGCCACCAGAAGGCACTGAGGAGGCTCACACAGAGGTCAGCTCAGCTCAGGCGGGAAGCAGAGGATGAGTAGGAAAGCAAAGGCCAGCAATAAGCAGAGCCCACCCTAGCCAGAGAATAGGCACAGCAGGGAATAGGAAATGCAGAGCCCCAGAGAGGAGCCACAAGATGCCAGGGCTGGAGGGCTTTACCCCAGGAGGACTCAAGAAAAGAGGGAGACAAGGGATCAGAAACAGACACAGCCCGAGCGGAGTGAAGTGGTGCCCAGTGCCAGAGCCCTCACCGTCCATGTCGCAGCTCAGCATGGCTTCCTCCAGTGGGTGCACACAGCTCTCCTCCAGCCGTTCTTTGGCTGGGGATGATTCCAGGCTGATGAGGTCCTGAAGGTGACAGAGACATCATACCTCCTGTGTCACCCTGTCTACACCTTCTATTCACAAGTTCCTGCCCTCTGGAAAGAGGAAGTGCAGCCCATACCTTTCGGAATGGGGGATTGGGTGAGTTTTCCAAGGTCCCACTATGGCCATGCAGCAGCTGGCGAGCATCCTGGATGGCTCTGGTGACAGCATCCCCTTCACCAAGGAAGCCTATTGAAGAGGAAGCAAGGTGAAGGGCAGGGGACCCGAGGGCTTTATCCCAGGAGAAACCCACACTTATTACTCTTCCTGCCATGTCACTCCCAGGAGCTCCTTGTGGTGGCATCTTTGTGGTGGCACTCTCCCTGCCCATTCCCACACACCCTTGTGACACTGCCTGGCTCATGGCGGTGCTAAGGGGCTGGAAATGAAGCAGTACTCCCAAATCTGTATCTCAGTGGCCCAACCCTGGCCTGTCTAATCCAGTCCTGGAGGACAAACGGGATGCAGAAGGCGGCCTCCTCTTTGTAAGAGTAGACCCTGGCTTTAAGAAAGCAGAGACTGGAGTGGAGCTCAGTGATGAGAGTGCTTTGGAATTTTTAAAACCCCAAACTGGAACTGAGAAAGGGAAGGGACATGGCCACGGTGGCATCTGACTCAACTGTCCTCTTGGGTGAGAGCACATAGAAAAGCTTACCCAGAGGGAGGCTGGGGGGGCTGGACTGCAGGTCCCTTGTGGGAGCCCCGTGGCTGGAGGGGCGAGGCCCACAGCTGTTCATTTTCAGGTTGGGGGAGCTGGAGGTGTTGGGCAGCTCAGGCGCCTTGGGCTTGGCTGTGAGGTTCAATGGCTGTGGGGGTTCCTGGGAACCCAGAAAGTCAGTAAGTGAGGCATCAAAGGAGGACCCCTCCCTATTGTGGGACAGACAGGACTCAGGGAGAAAGTGAGATCAGCACACATGCCCAGAGCAGACAAGAGGGGAGAAAGGCAATGGCTCGGCGAGGGAGGGCACCCCAGGTGGCAGTGGGCAGGGGAGTACCTGCAGAGGGTGGTGTGTGGCCACCCCAGGCCTTTTCACCACAGGGGCCGGAGGGCTGTGCAGGAGCTGCAGCGGGTACTCCACTGTGGAAAGAAAAGCAAGGGGCAAAGTTCCAGATGAGCCCAGAACAGCAGACACCTGAGTGACAGGTTCCAGTGATGTAGGTGGGCTGAGCCTATAGCTGGCCCCACTGGTTCTGTTCTCATCAGGCTCAATGGACACAGGGCACTGTCTGTCATCCCCTCTTCCTACATGGCCCCTCCAGGCTGATGGCCATACCTGCCCTTTCCAATCTACTCTAAAGAGTTTGCCATGGTATATGCAAGGGAGGGCACACTCTGGTCTTGTACCTGCTGAGTATAGGGGGCAAAGCAACTGTGTTGGGAGGAATGCCTGTGTGCTTTCCCCTATGACAAAGCACATGTGGTCATAAGCGAAGCTCAAAACACCGATCTCATTTACAGGTGTATTATATTAGTCAGGCTTCTCAGGAGAGAGCACAGCAGATCAGGAAACAGACCTTACAAGTTCGGTAGGCTTCCCACAAAGCCATTACATGGCAGGCAGCACCAGGATTTGAAGCCAGGTCTTCTAGACTCTACAACCTATCTTTGGCCTATACAGTTCTCTCTCCTACCTACCCTATCTCACTAGGCCTATACTCGAGGGAGGAAATGCAGCATAGGTAAGCCTGCATACAAATCAGTAGCCCCATGACAGGTATCAATAATGGCTCACAGGAGCCATCAGGGCACTGTGGTGGAGATGAGGATGATGGACCCAGCTGGCAAGCAAGGTTGGCTTTGTGGCAGAGAACCTTTACTTTGTCATGGCCTTGTGGAACAGGGAGGGTACACCAGGAGTACTCTTCATTGCTACCCATCCTGTTGGTGCAGGTACAGGCAGCAAGTGTGCCTTGTCCCCAACTCTGTCTGTTGCCACTGTCACCAGAAATCATTTGGACCGTCCCGTCAGTCACCTCCGTTGTCACTACCCACAACCAGAGACAACGCACTCACTGTTCACGTGTTCCAACACACCCACTTCCCAGACCCCACGCTCCAATCCTCTACAGCACCCCACATCCCCGTCACTCCCAAACACCTTTGCAACCTCTTCCCTCAGCCCCCACCCCAGTTCCAGCCTCTCCCTCACTTTCTTCCATCTTCTCCAGGACCCAATCATCAAGTGCCCCCTTCCTCAGGGAGCCCCGCCCCAGGCCTTTCTCTAGTCTTCTCGCTCCTCTCTCTTGTGCTTTGCAGTGGGCTCTTCCCTTCCATCCTCCCAGCTAAGCTCAGAAAGGACTTACTCTTTCACTGGCCAGACCCCAAACTGTGGCCCAGAAAGGCCACTGAGTGGTAATGGATGAAGAGCGGGTCTGGGCTCCTCTCTCATCTCAAAATAGCAGCCCCGGTGGTGGTCCTGCCCTGCCCTGTCCTGCCCCGACTCACCTGGTTTGCAGGGAATGGGCTGAAGAGGCAAAGCCAGTTGGGAATCAGGAGTGACAGGCAGAGGCTGGTGACTTGGGGGAAAGGCTGGGATCATGACATAAGGCAAGTTAACCTGCTGAAAGCAAAGAAACCCACTGTAAGTCTCTGGGGACCCAAAGAGCTGCCCAGCTGGGGGCTGCCCAGGCCCCAAGGTGGGGTGGGTATTCACAGGGCATAGAGTAGGGGCAATTCTTTTAAAGGTTCCATCTGACCCCACAGCACATCTGTGAGCCCATCTCAATGGGGAGAGGGAGAGCGAGACATTCTGGGGTACCCCTGAAAACAGGACTCCAGAATCGGAGTGAACTGGAACAAGAGTACGGCCTCCTCATCAAGTCTGGAGGGAGCTTGTTCTGCAGCCCCCTTCCCCAGTGGCTCTGCAGGCCAGTGTCACCCTCTGCCTGTGCCCTCCCATCGTCACCTGGATCTGCTGCTGGAGGACATTGATCTTGTGCTGCTGTTGAATCAGCTGTTGCTGCTGCTTGGCGATCTGGTGAGACATGGAGTCGACGAGGGAATCACGGAAGGCCCTGGCTCTCCTCCAGCACCCGCCCCAGCCTACCTCTGACTTTCCCCAGGAGGCCATGCAGGGAGGGGGCGCAGGGCAGAGCGCCAGTTCTCATAACCTGGTCTCCTCTCATGGACAGTCCCCCTTCCCACGGAGACTCGGAAGCCCCTGCCCAGGTGGTACCTGCTCCTGCTGCTGCCGGGCCAGTTCCATCTGTTGCTGCTGCTTCTCAAACAGCATGGCGGCCATGTTCTTTTGCTCAGAGTGGGCCGTGAGGAGCTGGTCCCGAAGGGCAGACAGCTGGTGGATCATGACCAGAAGCTGGAGCTCCTTCTCAGCCAGGCTCTCTTGGGTCCCTGCTCACAGTGAAATGGCACCAAGGAGAGTTTTTGTTAGTTACCTGTCTATCTGCCCACCTACCCATCTGACAACATCTCTGTCCCACGATCCTGCCAGCCCAGTGCCCAACTTATCTGTACTTCAGGGGATTAAAAAAAAAAAAAATCTATTGATTGGCACAATGACAGCTACTTCATTGAGGATGAACCAGTTAATGTGTGGGACGTTGTTTGTCTAGGATCTGACAATGTCTGTTCATGTCCCTGCCTTCCATTCCAACCTGGCTGTCTGATGGGACAGTTTATTCCTAAGAGCTTAAATGGGGACCATTTATAGTCAGGACCGGGAAATGCCAAAGCACAGGCTTCCATCTCTGGGGCTCTCAGTCAGCAAGCGGGGGAGCAAAAGCATGGATTTAAAGCTCCCATTGTGGGTGTACTCAACCACACTGAGTAAATGATCACTCTGAACAGCCCTCAGTACGGCCCCACAAGCCTGGTCTCAACAGCCAACAGTGAGTGGAAACTTTCAGCTCACTTTAGACTGAGACCGGGAAGGTTGAATGAGGAGCCTCGAGTCCCAAGGGTCCCTAATGAGAGCCTAGATCCATCCCATGGGATCTGCTTCCAGCCAGGCCTCCCACACCTGGGGATGCGTAGAGACTCCCAGGTGAGGAGCCAGGTGGGAGTCAAGAAACAGGGCAGGTATATGAGGATCTGTCCTATATACCCAGAGTGTGTGACTAGAACCCAAAGGGAGAGGCTCATGGCTGAGACACCCTCCCCTGTTCTCTGCACGCAGGCTCCGCACCTTTGACATCCTTGGTTTCCACAGAGCTTCTTCCCAGAAACCGCTCCTTCCAATCACTGGACAGCAGCTTCTCAATGGCTGGCACAACTGGGAGAAGGCAGGGCAAGGGCCGGGTGAGGGCCTGCCAGAGACCAGCCAGGACCTCACCTCCAACAGGACAGACATCCTACCTTCTTGTAAGTTGCGGTTGAAGTCGAGCCGCTCCTGGCTTCCCGAAGCAGCCTCAGAAGCTGCTGGTCTCTTGGGGTCTGGAGACCCACTGCTCTCTGGTGAGGCACAGTCCTGCAAGAGACACTGAATTATCCATCACTGCCACTCCCAAGAAAGGGAGCACAGGGCGGGCTGAGCACCCCACAAGTGTCCTTTCTGAGCCCTGCGACTCTATGGGCTGTTCCTTCCCACATTCCCAGGCCCGGCTCACACTACCTGATACAGTGAAAAGAACAGAGAGATGTGGACAAGAGACCTGGGTATCAGTCCAGGCTTGGTGGCTCACAGGGGGCTGGATCTCACACAAGCCCCGGACAACTCTGAAAGTCAAGACTGTCTCTGGGATCCATATAGTAAAGCGTCTGAATGAGGGGCCGATACATCAGGAGGGGTTGGCGATGGCTTTGGAATCACCATGGAAACACATCTGTAGGTTTGTCTATGAGGATGCTTCCAGAAAGGATTAACTGAGAAACCCACCCTGAACAGAGGGTCCTAGACCATTTTCATCTCCCCACTTCCAGACTACAGATGCGCAATGGCCAGCTGCCTCAAATTCCTGGCCACCATACCTTCTCCACCATGTGCACCCCCAAACTGTGAGCCAAAATATACCCCTCTTTAGGTTGCTTCATAAGACATTTTGTCCCAGCACTAGAAACATAACTAATATAGAGCTCACCCTCTGCTAGTCATCACTGCAAACCCATGTGCTTCTCCAGCCAGGCTACTTGATTACAGGAACTTACTGTGGCCTCCCTAAATGATCCCTGGCGCAGAAGCAATGCCTCAGCAGTTGAGAGCTCTTGCAGAAGACCAGAGTTCAGTTCCTCGCACCCACACCCAGCTCCAGACGATCCAACTGTTGTGGAATATTTGTTTAACTATGCAAAGATGTGTTGCATTTGTTTAATTATCTAAAGATGTGTTGCTGTTTGACCTTGCCTACCTAAGGCACCTGATTGGCCTAATAAACAGCTGAACAGCCAATATTGAGGAAGAAGGTATAGGTGGAACTTCCAGGCAGGGAGAATAAGTAGGAGGAAGAATTTAGGCTTAGGGAAGAAAGAAAAGAGAAGAAAAGGAGACACCAGGAGCCAGCCAGACAGACACAGAGGAAGCAGGAAAGTAGGACATACACAATGAAAGAAAGGTAAAAAGCCCCGATTTAAAACCTAGATGAATAGAAATTGAGTTAAAGGAGCTAGTAGTGGGACAAACCTAAGCTAAGATGAGCATTCATAATTAATAACAAGTCCTGTGTCTTTATTTGGGAGCTGGTTGACAGCCCAAAGAAACTTCCAATTACATCCAACACCCTCTTCTGGCCTCTGAGGGCAACTGCACTCATGTGCAGGTACCCCTGAACAAATAGAAACAGTCTCTCTCTCTCTCTCTCTCTCTCTCTCTCTCTCTCTCTCTTCTCTAAAACAAAAATAGGGGCTGAAGAGATAGCTCAGCAATTAAGAGCATTTGTTGCTCTTGCAGAGAACCCAGGTTCAGTTCCCAGCATTCACATGGTGGATCACAACCACTCCAGTTCCAAGGGATCTAACACCCTCCTCTGACCTCTGTGGCCCCAGGCACTCATGTGATACACTTATACATGTTCAGGCAAAAAAACAAACAAACAAACAAACAAACAAAAACACACATAAAAAAAAACCCTCATACACATAAAATAAATCTTAAAAATATAAGTTAGGTAAAGAACAGATCAATGATTGAATAAATGAAAACAAACACTTCTTTAAAAAAAGAAGTGTTTAACCTGACATGGTGGTCCATGCCTTTAATCCCAGAACTCAAGAGGTAGAGGCAGACAGATTTCTGTGAGTTCATAACCAACCTGATCATAATTGAGACCCTGTCTCAAAAGACAAGAAGAGGAGGAAGCAGCAGCATCCCATCTAACCCAGGCCTCCTGTTGTCTAAGGCTCACTCCTACAAGATGTAATTCCTGATCACCCCCACTCTTCCAAACTGAGCTTCTCCTCAGATTCACCAATTAAATTTCCCCTATGGAAACAGAAGTTAAAGACCTGCAGAATCTCTATCATTTATTTCAGTTCTCCTTCTGTGGATGTGTTCCACATGTGAGTGTGGGCACATGTGTGTGCATGTGTGCATGTATCGTGTGTGTGTAGGCCCAACTTTGACAAGCACCTGTCATTTTATTTACTGTGGCAGGTCTCTCACTGAACCCAGTGCTCCTGTTCCAGGGACTCCGAATCTCTGCCTCCAGGCAGCTGCCACACTTTCCAGGTTTTTACAAGGGTTCCGGGAATCCAAACTTCCATCCTCTCGATTGTACAGCAAGCACTTTACCTACCAAGTCATCTCTCCAACCCCAGTCTCCTCTTTGTCTTAAGAAAATTACAGGCTGAAACCACCACTCAGGTAGGGACGGAAGGAGACAGCCCCTGTCTTGCTCTGATAGGTGATCCTGCTTCTATCCCTGACCATGGAGGCTCCTCCCCTCCGCTCATCTAGGGCTCTCCTCGGCCCCATCTTACCCTTGCAGAGACCATTTCTGCACACAAGCTAGACAAAAGTATGCAGGCCTGGTGGAAAGGGTGGATCAGCACCAAGTGAAGCCACAAAGGAAGAGTGGGGACAATGACCAGGAGGTCCCTAGAAAGAGCTAGATACCTGAGCTGGAGCTTGTGAATTGGTGGCATCCTGCAGTGCCAGGGCTGGGTCTTCAGGCTGGGTCTCCACTGCAGTGGCTGTGTCTTGGGGGGCCTCATGATGAGGCTCCTTCTTCTCTTCAGATTTGATGGTGCAGTTCACCATGGTGCTAGCACTGTCCGGGGCCAGCTGCACAGAGACAGGGCTCCGCATGGACATCCTGCAGGAGAAAGGACAGAGGGCACAGAGTGAATGAGGTCCATGGCTCAGTTATAGACCCACGCTGCCCCCCAGAAGGTGCCTCCGTCCTTTGTGTCGCCAACCCAAGCACCCTCAGGGATGCATATGTATAAAACACAAGCTTGCTTTGGAACCTGCTTTCTAATTTTTTAATTTTTAAAATCCACCACTCCCTCTTTTTTCTTTTGCAGTGCCAGGACATGCTAAGTGAACACTCCCTGTTTCTTGCCATGCTGGGTCTAGTGAGCTGATGGGCTCACCCAAGGAAGTCAGAGAGGGTTAACCGGCTGCTTTGGAGCCCAAAATAACTGAACACCCTATGTGTGTAAACATGTACTGGAACTAGTTACTAAGACTTAAAAACAAGAGTCAGAATTGTAAAAGCCTGAATTTGAAGGCCAGAAATAGTGGATTACACCTATAATCAATCCCAGTACTCAGAAGGCAGGGCAGGCAGATCTCTGTGAGTTTGAGGCCAGCCTGGTCTACAGAGAAAGTTCTAAGACAGCCAGAGCTACATAGTGAGACCCTGTTTTCCCCCCACACCCACAAAAAAAGCCTGGGTTTGAATTTCCAGTCCAATGACCAACTTAACTTGGCTAGAATTGGCAGGAGCCCTCACATACAGGCTAGTTTGCCTTAGTCCCCAACTTGACCAAAGGAAGCAAGAACCAACTCCCCAGTACAAGACATTTATTCTTTATAGCGGACCCAAGGATCAAATCGGGGACCCCACACAAGCTAAGCTTCTGCTGTGCCGCCAAACTACAACCAACGCCTTATTCCTCTCATTATAGGGACAAGCCAACTCGAAATGTTGCTTACGTTTACACATATCTAATGCAGGTTGTAAAATACAGATGGATATAGCATTCAAGAAATATGCTCTACCCTAGTCAGAGTTCTGGGTAGATTCTGCTCCTGCTGGCACTGAGACCTGTAGTGCCAGGTTTGGGGATTTTGTGTGGATATGTGCCTGGATTCCCTCAGAGACCAGAAGAGGGCACTGGATCCCTGGAACTGGAGTTACAGATGGTTGTGAGGCACTGTGTGGGTGCTGGGAACTGAATCCAGGTCTTCTGCGAGAACAGCAAGTGCTCTTAACCACTATGCCATCCTGTCAGTCCCCTAACCCTTGTTTTTCCTTGGGTTTTTTTGTTTTTCAAGGCAGGATTTCAGATGGCCCAGGCTAGTATTGAATTTACTATGTAGCTGAGGATAGCCTTGAACTCAAGTGCTGGGATCACAGGCCTGTGCATCATGCCCAACTTGCAATCTGCTTGGTAAACTCTCTTGTGAAGCTGCCTTCTCTCCTACCACACTACCTAGTGTCTGAGGGTGAATATCTGTAGGACTTTGGAGAGCAGTGTCCAGGGTCACATCAGACTCGAGGCCAGAGGAGCAGTTGCCACACTCTCCAGTTCCAGGGCAAGCACTCAGAGCACACTGGGCTCCAGTGGCACCAAAGGGTCTGGCCTCCTGCAAAAGTGTTGGGAGGTGGGGCCTCACTGGAGGTAATTAGGTCAGGAGCCTCCCTCCTGTCTTCACAAAGCAAGCAGTGTTAATTGGAAAAGTGAGTTTACTAGAGTTGACTGGTATTCCTGTGCTCTCCTGCCATGGGGTAACACAGTAAGAAGGCACTTGCCTTCCCAGCCTCTGCAATGCTAAAAAATACAGACTTAGATTCATAGGAATTAAAGAGCAACCACCAGATGCAGTAACAGACCCTTCAACAAAAGAGGCAGTTTGACACACTAGTGCCATCTTTACAGAACATACCTCCAGTGGGTTCCTGTAACCACAGCACTCCCCAACATTAGCAAGCCATGGTCCCACACCAAAACTGTTGCATTTGCAGTTTGAGTTGCAGCAAAAATGATACACAGTCCTTTTCCTTTCTTCATAATTCCACAGTCAATGTCTTAATAGGTTTTAGCAACTTTAGCAAACCATTTTTCCCGCTAGTGAGAACTTTCACCTTATATTTTATTGTTTGACTGTGTGTGTGTGTGTGTGTGTGTGTGTGTGTGTGTGTGTGTACGTGCGCGCGCCTGAGTGAATGTGCACATGCATGTGCAGGTAACCATGAGGGCCAGAGAAGGCATCAGATCTCCTTTATCGGAGTTAAAGGTTGTTCTAAGTTACCGTGTGGGTGCTGGGAACCAAACCTGGGTCCTCTGCAAGAGGAGCAAGTACTCTTAATTGATGAGCCATCTCTCCAGCCTCAACTTTCACCTTCCCAATCAAGCACTTTGACTCCAGCAGGCTGGGACCACTGTGGAGTAAAATAGGGGCAGCTTGAATACAAATACTGCCCTAGTCACAACAGCTGATTGAAGGAGATGCCACCAAGTGACCCACATATTGTGTGGCCACACTGGACAAAGGATGGTCACAACCCAGAAACTTCAAGATTCCATTGCGCTACTGAGAATAATATGCTATTTAAAAAGCGCACAGGGATGGAACTGTAACTCAGTGGTGGAGTGCTTGTCTAGCATGCGGAGGCTTTGGATTCCATCCCCAGTACCATATAAAACCAGCAGTGGTGGTACACACCTGAGATCCCAGAATTCTGGAGGTGAGGCAGCAAGGTCACAAATTCCAGGTCATCCTTGGCTACACAGCAAGTTAAGGGACAGCCCAGGCCCAATAGGCCCTGCTTCTAAAACCCAAAACAAGGCCAGCAAGATGCCCCAGCAGGTAAAGGCTCTCGCTGCCCAACAATGCAAGCCTGGATATCTGAGTTCCATCCCTGGGACCCACATAAACATAGAAGGCAAGAAAACCACCCCAGAATTGCCCATCTGACTTCCATTCATGCCATCTCTTCCTCACACACACACAATAAATAGGTCTAGAGCAAAACAAAAACGTTATGAATTATTTACTTCTAAGGGTTTCCATCTAGTACCTTTCAGATCATGGTGGGCACCTGAAACCCTGTTAAGTGAGACTGAAAATAAGGAGACTAGTGCATTTGTATACCACATCAGTTCTGTACGGGGTATACTATAGCCTATAGATTACACCAACTATTCTGGTACTGTGTGCTGAACCATACAACGTTACAGCTTTGTATACAACAGAATACATAAAGTGTCTTATGAATAGCTACCGCAATATTATAATTGATTAAGATATATACATATGTATTTGATTTGAATATATTCTACAGATTAGACGACAGCAGACTTCCCCACCCACTTTCTGAGTGCAAGGTGCCTCAGGAACCCAGGATAGGACAGGGCAAGACAAGGCTAGCTGACCCTAGCTGGGCCCCATCTCACCTGGACGAAGAGAAAACAGACCCCAGCCCAGCTTGGCCCAGGGGTCCGAGGGGCTGCCTGGAGAACCTGCAGAAAGCAGGCAGCTCAACCCATCCGGCTGGGGAGGGGCCGGGAGCCAGGCCCCGCAGGGGGCAGGAGTGGGGGTGGGGGCATTATCCTGGAGCTGAGGGCAGCAATTACATAACAAACAAACCCGGGCTCAAGCTGTGAATTAATCAAACCGCTGAAAATAAAACCTTCCTCTCAGGAACTTCAGACAAAAGAAATGAAAACAACCAGGCTGGCTGGAAAATAAAAGGCAGCGGTGCTGAGAGCTGGGACAAAAGGAAACCAGACAATAGGGTGTTGGACAAAAGCAATAAAGCCAGAGGAAGTGTGACAGGCGCACAATGAAGGCCTGTGGGCTTCTGATCCCTCGGCTCTCAGCCACCTCATCCCACACCCACTGGCTGCCACCAGGTCGCCTCCTCTGGCCAGACTTGGGTCCCAAGAGCTTTTCTTCTCCATTAGGCCCCAGCCTCCGGCTTCCAACTCCTACCTCAGTCGGAGAGTCCCGGCCACCGCAGCCAGAGCACACGGTCAGATGAGTGAGTGCCTGAGGCCAAATGCTGCCCCACTGGACATGGTGACCATTCATCCACCCCTCTGAGGGAGAGGTAGAAGAGTCGATGGCCTGTCCTGACTGCCCAAGACCAGCCCCACCGGCTACATCTGGCTACTGAGCCCTTGTCATGCAGCCAGTCTGGGTGAGAATGTGTTATATCAAACAAACACACCAAGGGTCCCAAAACTTAGCACACAGGTGCACTAACTCATTCATAAACAGCTGTGGTCACACCTGATGGATTAGGTTAGAAAAAAACATTCTCTTCCCCCCCCCCTTACATCTTTTAAAGATCTACTTTGTTTTTCATTATGTGTGTGTCATAGTGTATGCCCTCATGAATGCTCTTGCCTGAGGCCAGAGGCATCAGATTCCCCTAGGAGCTGGAACTTACTTGTCCTTAGCAAGAGTAGTACCAGCTCTTAATCTTTGAGCCATTCTTCCAACTCTAGACAAAACATTCTTAGGACTCATTCCACCTTTTCACACACACACACCCTCCTCCCCACCCCCCATCCCCCCACCCCCGCCACAGACAGGGGCTAACTGTTGGCCAGACTGAACCAAGATCCACCTGCCTCAGAGCCCAAGAGACACCTGATTCTTTTGTTTTTTCTTCATTTTTTATTTTATATGCATTGATGTTTTGCCTTCATGTAAGCCTGTGTGCGGGGGTCAGATCCTGTAGGACTGGAGTTACAAACAGTTATGAGCTGTCATGAGGGTGCTGAGAATTGAACCTGGGTCCTCTGGAAGAGCAGCCAGAGCTCTTAACTGCTGAGCCATCTCTCCAGTCTCCTTACCTGATTCTCTTTATAATTTGGTTGGTTTGTTTGGGGTTTCGGTGGAGGCTGTATCACACAGGCTAGTGTGCACTCTACCACTGAGCATCCAGCATTTAATTTTTTTTCACTTGTATTTACTAGGAGAAACAACACTATGTGAGTGAGTGCCAGTGTGTTCCTGAGGCCGTCTCCTAAGCTGTGCCTCAACACTCCTTTCCACCTCTCCCACACCCACCCAGCACCTTCAGCCCAAAGAAGTAGCATCTTGGGGCTCCCAGCACTGGTAAACTAAGGAAATGG